GTGGAGTCAGCCCCGACTCATAGCGACCCCTCCTTGGGTTTCCGAGGCAGTGTCACTACAGAAGTAGGATTGCCCACCCTTCCTTCCAAACAATAATAAGAACAATAATTTGTTGTTTTTCTGAGTTGTGTGATATTTTTAGTATTTTTCAACTTTGTTATTTGTTGTGATATCTTTCTCATTTTATATAAATGTTCACTTTCAAACTTAAAAAATAATCAAAGAAAAGTCTTAGTAAAGATAGTCTTTGACTTATAATGGGGTTCCATTCTGATGACTGTCGCACGTCAGTTCTGACATCAGTTCTGACTAAGTCAAGTACCTCTTTTTTTTAAGTTTTTATTATTATTGCCTTTTATTATCAGTGTCTTTATAAATTGTAACATTGAACATCTGCAAGTGAACATCTGAGAATGATAACATCAGCAAATTACATACTACAACATTGTACGTAGTACCAAAAACAGTAAGATAAAAAAACACAAACCTTAGATGGTCTTAAGTGTGGTTCATCATAACTTGAATACATTATAAGTCAAGAAGGACTACTTATATACACACACACACACACATATACCTTCAAAAACAAAACACTAGTTATTGCTTGAGGCCAGATTCCCTGATGGATGCCAAATTAGTGGATGAAAGTTTGAGGAGGAACAGGATATTTGCATAGTCTTAAAATCTCTCTCCCAAGATATTTATTAAGTACAAAAGGAAAAAATAGTAACTTTACAGCTGTATCAAAGCGCTCAAGCATAGCCATTATAGTCAAGATGGCACAGGATAATACAGTTTCGTTCTGTTGTAGGTGGGGTCTCTATGAGTCAGAACCGACTCGACAGCACCTAATAACACAGTAATTTAACCAAGTGGTAAGATTGCTAAGATTAACATCAATGGTAATAAGACATATCAACATTTTGTACCACCTGATGGGAAACACAGAAGAGACAGCACAGTGTCTATAGTAGTTCCCCCCACACACACACCCAGTGGCTGAAAATAACATGCATTAATTATCTAGCAATCTTTGTATTTTTGTGGGATGGGAATCTGGGCATGGTGTAGCTTGGTCTGCTTCAGGATCTTTCACTCAACTGCAATGAAAATGTCACTCTTTGTTGTGTTCTCTTCTGAAGGCTTGACTGGATAAAGATCCACCTCCAAATTCATTTATATCATACATAGATGTTGGTAGGCTTCAGTGCCTTTTGGGTTGTTGGACTAAAGCCCAGAGTTCCTCAATAGCTGTTGGCAACAGGCTGCCCTCAGTTCCCTCTTTTGTATACCTCCCCAG